CCCGTCCAGTCCTGTGGAAATATTGGATTTAAACATTGGTTTGAGCAATTCATCTTTTCAGTCTTACATGCTGCATTGTCACATTCATGTCATCTTGGTTGTCTTTGTTTTCCATGACAGCGGTTAATTATACACTACAATAGTTTTGAAACTGTGCCATGAAATATGGTTTTGGAAAATCTGCTTATGGTATGAAATGCAGAGTTGCCAAAGGCTACCATCAATTGTAATATACACTGATTTCCTGCATAAGTGTGTCTCTGCCTGCGCACTATCTTTGTCAGCTGTGCTGGAGGTACTGTATGTGTGTGTGGCACTGTGAGGCGTAGCTGCCTCGCTGATTTAAAGCATCCTCATGCTTTTTATTTGAGATTGATAGTCTCTGCTCCTGCCATCAGCTACACTCCCATTAGCATAACTCTGCATGCTGGGGCTCATGCCCGTCTCCTTCTGGGCTTTTACTCTGCACAACCTCCACCTGAACTGCACCACTGACATACATTAACACACAGGAACCCGAGCCTATACACACTACTACAACATGAGCTGCTTTATGGTAACGTAAATGATGAGAGAACAGCGGTGGTCTGTCTCAGGGCCCAACATTTATTCATAAATCCAGACGTTGGTTAACAGTAATAAAGTGCTCTATAGACAAACGCAATGTGGGATAACAAACTGCGTCCAAGAGAGATTGGACAGAGAGATGAGCAGTTCCATCTGCTGGAAGGCTTCAGATTGTGTGTAATGGTTTGATTTACTCTTGGAGGCATGATGCATTTTGATACTATTTTTTGATGTACAATAATTTTTTATTACTCAAAATTGGGCTGAAAAACAAATCCTTTTGCGTTGTTTTCAAAATTCTATTTTATTTTTAAATTATTTAACTGTCCATGTATTTGGACACCATGCAACAAAGAAGTAAAATGCCACACCTTACAACATGGAATATTATGTTTTTTTTATCTCATGTTATGCTATTTATTTAAGCTCAATAGTTGAAAATGAACAATAAAACACAGATTTTAGGAGCAAATAGAGGAAAAACACATTCCTCAATTAATTACAGTTATAGCTATATAGGACCATGTTTTTATCCGCATCTAACTTCATGTTGAATCATCTCAGTTTTAACATTTCAACATACAGCATGTACCAGATAAGATAGCTATAGTTTAAACTGATTTCTTTACATTACGTGAGTACAATTCTTATTTCTTATAAAGGCCGCAAAGCAGTCAAAAGCTGCCATTTGATGCTGTAATATGCACTTTTGCATTGTTATTTATGCTCACATATTTGTTAAATGTCTGTTTTATTATAATATAAAACAATTTATCACATCTCTGAAAAAGTAGAATAGATATACTACACGAGAGTAACCACTGTTAACAATGTTGTTATGAATCAACTGATACTGTCCTCAAATGACTTGGAGAACATAACCATGATATAGTGTCCCAAAATGGAGTTTTAAATAACTGTCCACAAACGTGGAAGCCATGCATGAAAGGGTTTTAAACCCAAACATGATGCCTTGGTCATGACACTGATAGCACTGGTCATGACGTTAGTGAAGTGGGGCTAGTGTGTCATTTGTTCATCAAATCCAGAATACGATAAACAAGAAAATCATATTTGTTTTTCTGTTATTTTGTATGGGTGAGGATAAAAATGATTTCACTAGTGGATTTGTAGGAACTCTTGCATTCCTAACAAAAAATCAATCTGTCAATAAATTCCTTAAAATTGACCTTCATTACTTTATTTCAAAAATGCTTTACAAACCTTTACTTTTGATCTATGCGCTGCATGATTTAGTGAAAGAGCTCATTGATTACGAATTAAGAACGCAGAAAAGGCATTTTAGGTAGGATAACACGTGTGCATGCACACATTCTCTCCCACATTGCTTACACCTGTATGCTGTGGCTGGTTTCCCACTGATGAATGGATGGGTTTGTGCCAAGTTTCACTCCCCAGTCCCAGGAAATGAAAGAAGAGAAAAAAATCGTCCTTGATTACAGTATATTACTGTTCTTTAGGGAATTGATAGAGGATGGTATTATTGGGTTAATCAATGACAAGTGGTGACTGCTCTGTGATTCACTGTGATTCACTTATTCCCCCCAACACACCATTGAGCCTATCAAGCATCTTCATTTAAGCCGCTCTAATTTTCCTGGAACAGATACATATGAGCAAGGGGGGAGGTTTCTTGATGGAAAGGGAAAATCGGTATCAGGTCAGTGGCCCTGAGGTGCCGGATCTGTCTGACAGGCTGCCTGCTGGAGAAGCAGTCCACAGGGAGAGTTTAGAGGAACCACGAAAGCAGAGGGTGATGAATGGTTTTTAAAGTGCACGTGCAAACAAGCCTTTCTTCTCTCTTACAGGAACAACTGTAGGAGTTTCATTCCGCTGCACTACAAGGCATTCCTCCTTTAGCAAATAAATGTTAATTGAGATTCATTGTAAACAAAGATGATAGCTATTCAAGGCTTTAGGGCTTAAACTGGAGACCAGGAACCTTGAGTCTGTGAGAAATACTTTAATTCTTTTTCTCATTTTACTCACTTTAAATCAAAGCCTAAATGATGCCAGCAAAGTACCGCAGGCCAGATTTGAACCCAGGCCACTGGAAGACAGACACTGCCTTTCATACATGGGCACACACTCTGACAACTGAGCTAACCAACACGGCCTTATGACCCATATTTACGTTTATTATTAGGCTGCAACCTTTAGTGGCTGTATGATGGTAGCAAAGCAAGAAGTCAGGTGACATAGTATAAAGATCAAGATAAAGAGAAGTCCGCAGAAGGAGGTGGTTGGGGTAGATGGAGGTCAAAATTGACTTACTTAAATTCTTAAGTGAAATAATGTTCCGTGGGTGACTATTGTGACTTACGGTCTTAACAAGTACTTTTGTTGCCTAAACGTAACCATACTAAGACTTTTTCACAATGTTATCCACATGTTTAACATAATGTGACTGACTTACATAACATACCTAAGGTCTGGTCCGCCTGTTGCTGGACTGGTTCTTTCCAAGAGTCATATGTTTTGTTTTGGGGAACGGTCAAATATGTAGTTTTGGGACAGTTGATAATTGACCTCTTTTGTCGTTTGGGTAATAGGACATGTTGGCTAAGCACCAAATGTGCAGAAGAATGTGCTACTTCCTTTCGACAAAATTTAGAAGGAGAAAGTGTGGCTCAAACATGGTTTAGAGATCAACCCAAAAGGGACTGGCAGCTGTAACAACGTTAGTCATACTAAAAATGCTCACCAAAACTGCTGAAAGTCAAAATTAATTCCACTTTTTGTATGAGGAAATTTAAACTCTTCTCAATATTGTGGCTATTGTACATATTTTTCAAAAGAGGAGAAAGATGTTTTTGGACATTTGGACATATTTGGCGTTGCAAAACGCTGATACAAGACGTGTTTTTCCACTTTCTCAATATGCCCACATAGCATTGAATATGTATCATTACAATATTCAGCAATTGGGATAACCCATCACACTGTTAAGTTCGTATTCCACTCGGCAGTAGAAACTAGCAAGCTAGGCTAACTAACTTTCACTCAGAAAGTGTAAGGTAAGGTGATTAATTAAGTAAATTAAATGAAATATTAAAAGTAAAAACAAATACTAAGGATATACTAGATACAGATTTTTTAACGTTGACTAAAATGATGGAGCACAGTGTGACTCAGTGTTGTGCAAATGCAAACGTGATCTTGAGCCTGAATTTGAACACTTTGTGATTAACAATAATAATACCCGCACTGGCACACTGTAAATATGGGAACTGTAGTTTTTTTTAATGCTATCATGTTAACTGTTCTTGTAACAGTTGATCTTAAAGGTTCATTCTTGACCTTGTTAGTGTTGTTAGCCAGGCAAACATCTGTCTATCTTGCTTGTTGGACCTTGAGTTGAGAATGTTTTGTCAAGGTACTGTGTTTCTTTCTTATCCATGATATCAAACAACACTGTCTTTAATGTTAGTTTCCCACCTGAGCTTTTGTAATGTGGTTGTATGTAAATAAATAGTGTTTGGAATAAAAACAGTATAAAGTTTTTCCTGGAAAAAGGGGCAGATACTGTAGCTGTTAGTCCCCAACAGGTTTAATCTCTACAGCCCTCTCTGGCCATTCCCAGTAGCTGGCCACTTGACTGGTGTCAGCCTGTCAAGTTAGCGATCTTTAAACTCCAACGGTCTTGTGCTTGTGGGAAATGGTGTTCATTCGAGGATGCTAATAAGTGTTCAGTCTCGGTCTATGCTGTGCTATGTGAACTCTTTTTAATGAGGTTTTTCTCTGTGAATCATTTCTTTCTACCATGGGTAGATATTGTTTCCATATGTCAAAGTGTATGTGATGCATGCAAAGCTGAGGTTGTTGCATCCTTTTCCTTGGATTATCTTACCACACTCTAGTGGGTGGATTGAATTGCAGATGATACCACTGAAAAGTGATGATGGTATTATGTGACGAACGTTCACATTTTGGTGATTTCTTTTACATTGCAAAGTGATTCCGACACGTCACCTCCACTTCTCACCTGAAGGTGTGTGATGCTTCCTGTGGCAGGTGGTTCAGACAGTGGGCTGCAGTGTGACTAATAGTTGTTGCTAAATGGCCTGAACATCCTGTGCATCAGTCCCCCACCCCACCCCACCCCACCCCCACCTCCCCAACTCACCTAACCATTGCTCTATCCATTTATTAATTCACCTATCTATTCCTTCCTCAAGGTTAACTATTGTTGTCTACATAAATTCTGTAGTTTATAGAATAACAGGATGATTCAGAATAGACACATCTATGACCCCAAAAAAACAGACTTGTTATGAAAGGAGCCCAATTATGAGAGCAGTGGAGTCTTGCACCGTGACTCAGCAAAACTGGAACCAAGGAACAAAAAAATAAATCTTATATAAACTTGCAGTCGTCATCATTTCACGTCATTTCTACCTCTCTGCTTCCAGGAACAGAGGCTGTGCCACGACTCCGAGCGGACAGACGAACAGACGGATGGACAGGGAGGATGACATCAGCCGTGGGAGCCAGGGCCTGTGTGTGTGTGTGTGTGTGTGTGTGTGTGTGTGTGTCAGTGGGTGCCTCTGTCTCTGCGTGTCACTTCCTGGGAGAGAATAGAGCAGGAAGCCAAAGTGAAAGCCGACAACAAGCACTCCTACCTCCACAAGGAAGCCTTTCTCCCCAGAGAGCATGTGTGTGTGTGTGTGTGTGTGTGTGTGTGTGTGTGTGTGTGTGTGTGTGTGTGTGTGTGTGTCCTAAACTCACTCCTGCATTCATGCTGCAGGGGGTTGGTGTTGGTTTTTTTCATAAGCCTCTAATGTTTCCATTTTAGTTCAAGACTGACAATTCTTTTAGAAACTCTCTAGGGACGGGGGCACCTTGGCAGAGGGGCATCTGTGACAACGAGGGCCATACAACTGACCTTGTGGCTTTGCCTTATGACAAAAATGAAGCATTAAGTGTTACAGCAGGGCACAGACATCCACCCATTCCTCCATTTGTTATCCATAACAGCCCGTTACATCTCCATTCTGCTCTCTGCTCTCACTCATGCAGGGTTTAAATGCAGGTGAATTCACAATACACAGTAACTCTCAGCATGAACGTTTTCATCAGCTCAGGTCTCCTCTCATCTGGACTGTGGTGGCTGGACAGAAAGAGAACATTTTAGATTGACTTCAGCAAGAGATCAACCTGAAACAACAAAAGTTGGATTATACTTCATTCATGCTACATATCTGCTGTGGTGTCATTTATTCCCTGATGACTAGCACTGGGTTGTATCTCTGTCACCACTGCTGATGCTGTACAACTGACCCTGACCTTTGACCTCTCTACACTGAGGGCATTTGAGATGAGAGCTGCCCCTGTGTGGCTACACAGGCAGTCACGTCACCATAGTAACACATGGCAATAGGGGAGTGCATAGATGCCATGTCGCCCTCTTCTGCCGATATGCAGAATCACATGATTCAGGCAGTGCGTTAAACCACATATGACAGCATGACACAATATTGTGGCATGAATTTAAGTGCATCTCGGTGTGAGGCCACATCCTCTTGATTAGTTTAGCTATGAAATGTTGTCCAGCTCTCCTTCCACCGCCAACGCCCTCCTAAGCCTGCAGTAGTCATAAAATACCAAGTAAGGATTTTTTTCAACCTGGACATGCCAATTGCCCTCTAGCACGTCAGTCGTTATGGGTCATCTGACACTCGTCTGTCAAACACCTGTAAGGGCCACAGGGACAATGCAGCATTTACTTTAGCCTTATTGTCATGACGACCTGGCCGGTTACATAAGTGCTGGGCGCCGGTTCCCACAAACAGCGGCACACAGAGGTCTTTGTACTGTGACACGAGACACCACACGCACCCTGTCACAGTTTGTACATTCCTCCAGCTGGATGTGCTCCGCTGCTCGTATGTCACAAAGTAAATAGAGGTGCGTGGATGGCAACACAATGCGGCCACTTCAACAAGCCACTTGATCTGGTGCTGAGCTTTCAAATCTGATTTTTTAGCCGAGTGGGGAGAAGTTGCCCGCTGTGTGGCACAATTTGCATTCAGTGTAAATAGACTCAGACTAAGATTTTATCACTGAAAATTCCTCTGAGAGATAATCTCCGTGATTTTCTTTAACTGGACAGACACTGCAATGTACCTAATAGACACTACATGTTTTAATCTGCCTGTCAGCACGACCAGAATCTGTGACGTTTATGTTCACACTTTATACAGACCCACGTAGGCCTAAGCATGGAACCCCCGGTTGGATTTGTTAATTGACAGTTCCAATAAAGACTATTTAAACAACAATGTTGACAGAATGGGAAATTGTGCAATTCTACTCAGAGCAGAAAGTTAAAAAATTAAATATGGAGCAAACTGCACATCAAACAATAACGGATCTGGCAGAAATTTGGCCTAATTCTAAAATTATTCTGGGTGTTCCAGACAAACATACTGGACAAATTTGACTTAAGAAAATTCCTCTGACAAGGGAAGCAATCTCATCAATTTGCTAGATTATTTCTTTAAAAATGTTTGAATAAAAATAAGTTTAAAAAAGGTTTTTAATGGTAATTTCCCCATATATATGATGGAATGGGAGTGTCACTGCTAACAGCAATCAACGTCACTATAGCTCAGGGATGTTAAATGAGCCTTTGGAGAGTGTGAACAGTACACATGAATACTAATGCATGGATACACATACATTCACTGGGGCTTTTAACTCGTCTTCATGTGAATCTTCTGTCGTCTTTCCTGAAGAATCAGTGGCAGTGAGGATTAAGCTGTAAGTACCCATCATTGTATGCTGTATGTTTGTGATGTCTAAAATAACACCGTGCTTCAGTATGTAGCTGACAACACCTGCTATGAATTCACCCTTTATGGCTTTGTTGCCACTCGCTGCCGGCCTTGTTTGTTGTGATGTCTGTTATGTTTGAATTCCTCTGCTGCTGGAGGAGAATTTTCACGTTCCAGTCGTCCATGCCGCTGCACTGCCATGACAACCACACTTTCTCTAAATAAGAAGCGCTGTCATGTTTTTTCCTCCGCTGACAGAATGCCTCATCCACTGACGGGGAGGATATCAGCCAAGAGTATGATTGAACTAACTTGACTACCAGTGATGTGTGTGTTTGTAGCATGCCTGAATGGCTTTGCACGATGTCCTTGTTGATGTTGATGCATTACTGTCATTTCATGTTGTGCTTTTGACAAAGAATAGGCCTTATTATGTATATTATTTATTATTATTTGAAGTAGTTGTAGCACTAGCAGTGTTATTTTAAAAGTAGGATTTTGACCTTGGCAACAATAGTTTGCAGGGCTGGGTTAAACCCCTATGCGGCCCCACTGCTAAAATCTGGGCCCCTGTTGTACCAACGTGATATCATGGAATGGCGTATAAATAGCACGCCACTTTTAAGGACATTTTCGGTGTGCCATGTCAATGCATTTAAAGCTTTTTGCATACAAAATTTAAGCAAAAGGTTAGCAGTAAAGTACATCGATGCTAAAGTAGGATCGTTAGCTAACTAGCTAATTAAAATTTAATGTAGCTATCGGAGCATAGCTAATGTTAGCAATGATGTAGCTTGGTAACTTATGTAACGTAAATGAAAACCAAAAACAATGTGTAATTATTGTTTCACTCGGGAACGCCGGTGCCCTGGGTCAGGGTCCAGGGCAGTTGTCCACTTTATCCTCTAACCAGCTAAGGTCCTTTGAAGTTAAGATTAAATGCGTCTTAACATGGGTCTACTCACTATATACTTTGTCTAGGTTGAGGGAGGATTCAACCTTATGCCATTCCAAATAAGGTAACAAACATCCATTAGCATCTTATTCTCCTTAAGGAGCTAATAAAATCCACCAGAAAAATCAAAACTTTTTTTTTTAAAGGAGATGAAACTAGTGACTGTAACTCCCTGCTGTCGGTACACCTCACCACTGCAGCTGTGATCTGACACCAAAAACGTCTTCCCCCAGAAGCTGGTTTCATGTGGTGGTTTAGATGTGTGTTCCCGTTGTCTAGCACCATTTGAAATCAGTGTTCTGAGGGACAGGAGGACAGCTCCGGCAGTGAGGGACTGCCCCTCGTCCTCTCTCCTCCTCGTCCTCCTCCTCTTTCTCCACTAAAAGATAACTGATTTCCTCTTGTGCTTAGAGCCCGCTACAGCCTTCTAGCACCATTTGAAATCGGTTATAAAACTGTGGATCAATGAGTCTGAGTCATCAGTAAAACGCAGGACAAGCAGAAGAAAGCAACTACTGGCTGTTTGTTTCTTGACTCCGCTGGATGAGTTTGAAGGTTATACATGGATGTTGTTTTTAACTTCTACCGTTAATGGATAACAACATGATCTCAGCTCTAATAAATCTATATACTTGTATCTTTTGCAAAAGAGAGTTTATTATTTGTGTCATTTACATGGCCAGCAACCAGTTGATATTGCTGCAGTTGCTACTGACCACCACTAGAGGCTGATAGAAGTCACAGATTACACCCCTTTAAGGTATTTGACTGGTTTGAAGTGAATGCAAATGCTTTCAAAAATGCACAGAATACAGCAATGCAGATTTCACAGGACAGTGTTCATGAGTTTATTTTTCCTGTAAGTCAACAAGATGATGGAGACACAGCAGAGATCCTTTCCAGCAGACACGGAAGAGAATAGTGTTTTTTGTGGTTGGAACATGATCACAGAAGAAGCCCAAGGAGGACTCCAGATATCACTTTATGTGTTGTGTGTTGTTGATCCACGAATCCCAATGGCAATAATCTTAAAGACAACATTGTTTGCTGTGACTGTGGATACAATGATACAGTCATCGAGCTGGTAGCATGGTATCCTCCGTAGGACGCTCCTATCCATTACACAATATTTATCCATGTCCAGATACAAGACATAGTGGTCTAGTCCAGCAGATGGCGCCAATCAAGATGGCAAGTATAGGCTAAACGGCAGGCCGTTGCCACTTTTTATATGCCCTAATGCATATTGCCATTGCTGTATCTATCAGAGAAGCAGTAGGTGTTAAGGCACTAAGCAGAATATGGCAACCAAGTCAATATTTTATTTTGTTTATGAAAAAGGTGAATGAATGTACATTCAGCATTTATGTTGATTTTAAATGTTTATATTTAAATACATACATTTTGGTTTCTAGAGGATCCTTTTGCTTGGTGATTCAGTAGTCAGAAGAGCTCAATTGTTGAGCAGCCACCACTGGTATTATTACTTTAACATATACTCATGCATGTACAGTATATGCCGAGTGAAAGTTTCGGAAAGATAATATAAGCACATGTACTGTATATGTAAGGGCAAGTAAATAAGAGGAAAAAACTAAAGCAAAAGAGGAACAATCACAGCAAGGCTCCTTCATCTGATGCGTAAAATGCATCCAGCAGCATTATTATAATTTTTAAAGATCATCAGTACTTTAAAAGCCCAATCCATAGTTTTAAATATATAAATTGCAGGTATAGTCAGATATCATTGATGTAAACAAATGTTATTCAGCAAGCATGTTTACTGAGTCATCTGGATAATTTTGCTCAGTAAAATCCCTAATCCCTCGAAACTGGAGGACTGATGTAAGACCACGTTACAGGTTTGACTCGCAAAACTTTACCAGATGCCTCTGCTTTCTGAAACAGACCCCCCAAAAATATATAATTTACATTCCTTAGTCTGTAAAAGACCTGCCAATCATTTAGAAAGTTAAAACAAGTTCCAAATGATTACATCTCGGTTGTGGGGAAACACACCAAGCTGTTAACACTACACTGACATTAACGCCTTATAAAGTTGAAATGGCTAATGTGCTAACGATTAGCTATTATTAATTAAGCAGACACATAGCAAGATAAGCATTACATTTGATTTGGCTTAGTCCAAAATGAACTCTCCTTAATGCTCATTTTTGGTCTCCATCTTCTCTTAAGGGAAATATCTCTCTCTTTAGCTGCTAAATGTCATATCATGGTTCCCACGTCTGCTGTTTGTTGACAGGCAGGTAGTGTACACCGAGTTTATCAGAGCTTTTTTACTGGAAACAACTGTGTGCTGAAGCTGATGAGAGCAGTGAGAGTGAACCAAAACAGTACAATTGTGACCCAGAAGCAAGAGGAACTGCAGAGACTGCTGATCATTCTAATTTAATATTAACAATAGATCAAATGATGCGTAATGTGAAAGATGTCACTTGTAGTCATGACTATTTACATATGTACATTTGGAGCTATATAATATTTTGCATCTACGAGTTTACTTTAAGCATAAATACATACATTTATTGAAACAATCAAAAGCAACTGCAAACATTAACAAAATAAACATTTTAGTGGCCATTTCCTGGAAACAACATAATGACTGCCAAATATACCAAACACAAAAAACTAGTAGTTTACTAATGTTTTATTGATATTTGTCGTATTTGTTTGTATAGAGAGTATTTACAAAATTGTGAATCATGGTCACAGAGTGTTAAACTAATATAGAAAAAGATACCCTTTAGGGACATTTTTGCCATTGTAATTAAACAAATGATAAAAAATAATAAAGGCCATTATACTTTTTAGATTTTAAGTTTTAAATTTAAAGGAATAGTTTGATATTTTGGGGAATACACTTATTCTTATTTGAGTTGATGAAATGAACTGACATGTCTGTACATGTCTATAAATGTGAGGCTAGAGCTAGGAGATGGTTAGCTTAGCTCAACATGAAGACTGGAAATACTAAGGTCACAATTTAGGCTCATTCTTTAACTCCAGAGTTTGATTCCTCATATCTAAAAAAGGCTGAACTCTTAACATCTATTTATCCTACTTGAATTTTGTTACAATAATATATTTAGATATTAATATAAATTAACTTTCTGCACATTAGAAAAGGGACCTTAGAATATAAAGAACGACATATACAAGAGTCACAACATTACCCCTTCCACCACAGTCTCAATCAGACAAGAAGTTTATCAAATATATCTGTGGTTGTACTGTTGACTGGGAACCAGTGATGTGAAACTGAGCTGCTCTGTCTGATAAACCTCCAGAAAAGACAGTTCACACATTTATAGAACAAGTAAAAGTTTGTCTTGTACTTATATATGGCCACCACATTTGCTCCATTCTTTAGCAATAGTTCCCTAAACAAAACAGCATACATTTTCATTTAATTATTTGCTGATATTTGATACTATTAATTATTTGCTGATAGTTGATACTATCAAAACAGAAGAATTCAATGATTCTGAATCATTGCTGTAACAGCCTCCCAAAGATTTTTTTTTTCAGACAGCAGAAGGAAGAAACCAAAGCAAGTGGGTATTAAAAATGATGCTGTAGCTGAGCAGGTAGAGAGGAAACAGCAAAGCCATGGTTTCAGGGTTTGGGGTCATCCTAACCAAAAGTGAGGGAGACTGTGTGTGAGTGAATGGGGTGAATGTGGCGTAGTGTAAAGTGATTTGAGTGGTCAGGGTACTAGAAAGGCGCTATGTAAGGAAAGTCCTTGTACCATCCTCAAACACTTGATGAGATCATTATCATTCCGAGAACATGCAGGTAAATGATCCATTGATGCTTTAATGTACTTTTTGACAAACTGTACTGCATATGCAAATTAAATCAAATAAATATTCTTTAAAGACTCATAAGTTGTTACTTACTTTTTTTTACACCTGAGAGCGACACCATCATCCAGACATTGAGATGAGCAGACTTCTTCTCCAAGCAGGTGAGGTCTTCTAAATGACTTTTGCAAGGTGTCGCTGTGTAGCAGTATCTCCAAGTGTCCAATCTAATAACCACAACTACATTACAGATTTTGTTAAGATTAATCCTTTTGTTAAATCTCATCTTTGTACATCCAGTGTACAATTCGTGGGTCGACCTCATTGTCTCAAGCACTGACAGTAAAGTTTTGCTTGTTTTTTCTTTCAAAGTATTAATATTATGAATATTGTATATATCATACATATAGTATATATACGCCATAACGCCATAACCAGGTAGCTGTCATAGTGTACAGGAACATCTGCCGTGAGTATGGGCTGGAAGTCCCAAGGTCAAAATGGAAGACACCTCCTAAGGTAGTTGAGAATGACGGAGCTAAGATCCTGTGGGACTGACAAACTGTTGATGGCTAACCAACCAGACATCGTGTTGATCGACAAACAGCAGAAGAAGGCTGCAGTGATAGATGTGGCAATCCCAAGCAACAGCAACATCAAGAAGAAGGAACACGAGAAGCTTGAAAAATACCAAGGACTGAAAGAGGAGCTAGAAAAGATGTGGAAAGTAAGAGCAACAGTGGTGCCAGTGGTGATCAGAGCACTGGGGACTGTGACTCCCAAACTGGGAGAGTGGCTACAGCAGATTCCAGGTAAAACATCAGAGGTCTCTGTCCAGAAGAGTGCAGTCCTAGGAACAACTAAGATACTGCGCAGAACCCTCAAACTCTTTGAGGACCTGAGCTTGAGGAGGGGGATATATACTATATATAACATATGTAATTTAATAGTTTGACCTACTTCATAGATGTTAACAAGATCAGCGATGCTTAAACTAAATATGATGTGCGGAGTGAATGTTTGCCATGGCCTACATGCTAACATTTGCCAATTAGCACTAAACACAATTATAGCTGAGGCTGATTGGAATGTTATGTGATTTTTATCATAAAGTATTGGACATTAATAAAATCTGGTGGTGCTAGATGAAAAGTCCAAAGTCAAGGACAGTGTATCGTCTGGAGACCATGAGTGTGTACAATATTTCATGGCAATTAATCCAATAATTGTTGTAATCCAAAGTTGTGGACCCATCAACTGGTATTACCATTTCTAGAACCCTGCTAAAAACTGTCCCTCTGTCTTTGTGTCAATTTCATATGTTCATTTTTGATGGGGTGTGGGTTTTTGCACTGTATGTGGAGACTGAAAGGTTTGCCATCCATCGTCAACCGCTTATCCTGCATACAGGGTTGGGGGGGGGGCTGGAGCCAATCCCAGCTGGCATCAGATACAGGTACTGGACAGGTCACAGATAGACAAACAATATATCACGCTTGGAGGAAACCAGAGCACCCACACAGATAAAGGGAGAACATGTAAACTCCCCACAGACAGGCTGGGACAACCAGGGTTTGAACCCACAACCTTCTTACTGTAAAGTGCTAACCACTGCATCACCGCGCCACCCCACTAATACATCATGGTATAGTGACTTATCAATAATAAGCAAACAAGGAATTCTCCTGATTCATAAAAACAGAATTAATGAAGGTGACTTTTGTGCAAGTACAGTGAAGTTTTTGTTGCCACTGGAAATCTTTTCCAGTAACACACAAGGGTCCACTGAGTGTTAGATGTCTTGATGAAGAACTGCTCTGTTTTT